CCGCCATCAGACACGAGCTCCCTCTGGGGCAGACGGAGCCAGCTTCGGGCCAGTGACCCTCCCGGTGAGGTGGCCGTGGCTTCGGGGTCCTCTCTCAGCCGTGCATGATACACTCAACAAGTCACCCCCAAACAGTGAGAAACAGGACTTCTGTTTCCCGCCATTCTGAACGTCAGCAGTTTGTGTAGAATCATCGTGGTGGTTGTCTGCTCCAGGCCTCTGGGCTCTGGGCCTCCCGACATCTGGGGCGAGTCCCCGGCCTCACTCACATCTGGAAGGCGTGCTGGCTCGGGGCCGGGCCTCCGTCCTCCTGTGTGTGGTCTGTCAGGCAGGACGCCCTCCCAGCTGGCCTCAGCTCCGCGGAGCACAGGTGGACGCTCACGGCCCCGCAGCCCGGCCCGCAGCTGCACGGCCTCCCTCCCGCCGCGTTCTTGGGTCAAAGCACGCTCAGCCGGCCCGGATTAGCGCGGGAAATGGATTTCCCTGCTGGAGGGAAGGAGCGGCAAAGAATCTGTGGCCCTGCCCGGCTGGTGTGGCTCCGTGGTTGAGTGTTGACCTATGAACCAGGATGTCACGGATTTGATTCCCGGTGAGGGCACATGTCGGGGTGCAGGCTTGATCCCCAGTGGAGGGTGTGCCAAAGGCAGCCAATCAATGACTCCGATCACTGATGTTTCCATCTCTCTCTGTCTCCTCTCTCTGCCTCTCCGTTATCAATCCTATACAATAAAGATGTAATATGCAAATGGTCTTTACGCCATGACGCATAACGACCAACTAACATCCGGGTCACAGATCAGCAGGAGGGTGGGGGGGAGAGCTACAGGAGGGGGCAGGGCAGCAAGCTATGAGGGGGGGTGGGAGGGGTAACTATAAGAGGGTGGGGTACTGGCGCCGGATTTGTGCGCAGGGCTACTAGTTACAAATAAAAAGAATTTCTGGATTGAAAAACCTGATGAACAATATTAGCTGTTGATTGTAGTAGAGTCGGCGATATGGGAGGGGAGTGGACTGACTGTTCTCGGGGAAAGGGGGAGTGGTGGATGCAGGAAGAGACTGAACATAAACTGTGCACCTATGGATGAGGATAAGGCACCAAAGGGGTGGGGAGGGGGCGGAGGGTGGGGTGGGAACCTGGTGGAGGGGGGAAGAAATGAGGAACCTTTGTAATAATATGAACAATAAAGATTGATCTAAAAAAAAAAAAAAAAGAATTTCTGGCCCCATTTAATCTACCACAGATGAGAGGCCCCCCTCACACACACACAAAATGACCAGAGCAGGTCACTCTGTCCTCAGTAGGCCCACCTCTGACACGCCACCACCGTTCTCCCTCAGAACAGCAACATAAAAGGTTGGCTTTCGCTCTAACCGGTGTGGCTCAGTGGATAGAGCATCAGCCTGCAGACTGAGGGGTCCCAGGTTCGATTCCGGTCAAGGGCATGTACCTTGGTTGAGGGCACATCCCCAGTTGGAGGTGTGCAAGAGGGCAGCTGATGGATGTTTCTCTCTCCTCGATGTTTCTAACTCTCTTTCTCTCTGTAAAAAATCAATACAATCTATGAAGGTTGGCATCCATTTTTTTAAATATATTTTATTGATATTGTACAGAGAGGAAGGGAGAGAGATAGAGAGTTAGAAACATCAATGAGAGTCATTGATCAGCTGCCTCTTGCACACCCCCTACTGGGGATATGCCTGCAACCAAGGTACATGCCCTTGACCGGAATCGAACCTGGGACCCTTCAGTCCCCAAGCCGACGCTCTAACCATTGAGCCAAACCGGTCTCGGCAAGGTTGGCATCCATTCTGCAGACCACTCTGCAGAGATGGTCAGCTAGGAAAGGCGTTTGGCCCGGTGAGCGGCTGCACTGCTGAGGAAGGCCGCTAGCATGTGCCTGTCCCACATGCTGACCTGACAGCGTGATGCTGACATGGTAAGAGGTGGGGTCTCGTGTCCCCTTTCCTTGAAACCGCTGGGACCTTCATAATCACCTTGACCTGTAGAAACGGGCAGAAGTGATGCATGTGACTTCGGAGGCTACATCCTAACGGGCAATACAGCCCCACCCCATTGGTGGCTTGTCCTGGGAACGTAGCCACCACGTTCTGAGGAAGCTCAAGCCACGAGGAGAGGCCCACTGTGAGTGCCAGGCCTTAGCCCCAGTGAGGCCCTCGGCCCTCCGCCCTCCGCCCTCGGCCCTCCGCCAGCATCAGCCACCAGCTCCGGGGGTGAAGGAGCCTCATGCTGACCCGCCCCCCCTGTGGGCCTTCCAGCCGAGGCTCTAGGCGTCCAGGCGCAGAGAGAAGCCACCCCCGTTTGCTTTTCCTGAATCCTTGGCCCCCAGGAACCAGGAGAGACAATAATGACTATTCATTTTTCTAAGCCGCCCCGTCTGGGGGAGCGTTGTTAGGCTCTGCTAGCCTCAGCACTTGGCTGGAATCCTCAAGGTCATCCCTGATCCAGGAAAGCTGCTGGAGTTCCAACTCTCACATCCGCATTCCGCATGGAACGCGGAATCCTTAGAAAGCCCTTGCAACACATTCTGTCTTATTTCATGTGCCAACACGAAGCCACGCGCCACGGGCGAGGAAGGCCAGACATGCCGGCACGCGGATAGCGGCGCGGGTGCCAGGGCCCACCTTTCCGCCGGGCCCGCTGCCTCTGGAGGGAAAGCAGGCTCTGTTTTTGAGGAGGCGAATGGAGAGTGGCTAGGGGCTCTGCTGGGGGAAGCGGGGAGGCCACGGAAGAGGGGAATCTTCCCCGTGCGGAGGAGCTGGAGCCAGTACGGACCCCCGCCCACTCAGCTCCGTGGATGCTTGGGCGCCATAGTTTCCCATCGACGTCACTTTTCAAAAAAATATATATTTTATTGATTTTGTACAGAGAGGAAGGGAGAGAGAGAGTTAGAAACATCAATGAGAGAGAGTCATCATTGATCAGCTGCCTCCTGCACACCCCCTACTGGGGATGTGCCCGCAACCAAGGTACATGCCCTTGACCGGAATCGAACCCGGGACCTTTCAGTCCCCAAGCCAATGCTCTATCCACTGAGCCACACCAGCTTCTTTACACAGAGTTGACTTCCTCCCGAAGAAGAGAGGCAGCGAGCCAATGCCCAGGGGAAGCTCTGGTCTCCAACCCCTCCTTTCCATGTGGCCAGTGGGCAGCCAGGCTTTTGCCTAAAACCCTAACACGCAGCCCTGACCTTGTCACTTCCCGGCTCAGCCACCTCCGTGGCTCCGGAGCGTCCCCGGTTAAGCACACACTTGGGGGTCTGGTGTCGGAGGCCTCAGCCAACCCTTCCACTGTTTTTGCTTCTACGTCCTCACCTCGCCTGGCTCCGGGGCCTGCACCCAGGCCTCATGCAGGCGGGTCCCAGCGCCCAGCGCACCCTCTGCCCTGTCTGTGCCCGGGAGAACCCGCCCCCTCCCGGCCCCCTCCCAGGGCCACCCCTCACCCTTACAGAGCTTCCGCCCAAGTTAGAAACAAGGCCCCTTTATCCGGTGGGTGCAGAGCCAGGCCAGGGCCGGAGGAGAGGGCCGGGCTGGGTTCCACCCAGTGCCCCTCAGCCCTGGCTCCGTAAGCCCCTCGCCAGCTGCTCCTGGGAGGAGGCCTCGTGCAGGGCCCACGCCGGCTCCGCCAGGCGAGGCTTTTCCACGCCCCACGCTGTCTCCAGGGCCCGCCCTGAGGGGGCCGGCTGCTTTCTGCTCCGTGTTCTCCAGCCGCTAGCTCGGCGCCCCCAGGGAACGAAGCTCTTCCTCCCCGCCCCGGGGCAGCGCCGCGCCCCAGTCCTCGCCCAGCGGCAGGCTGGAAAGCCCCGTGGGCTGCGAGAGGGACCCCTGGACCGCGCCTTCGCAGTGACCCAGACACCAGCCGACCGAGTCAGCGGCTCAGCCACTCAACCTGAGCCTCCGGCCCCGGGCTGGGCAGGGAGGGTCCCCCTCAGCTTCCCCCCCCCCCCCGGGGTCACTGGAGCGCGACCCCGAGTGCCCTCCCACAACCCAGGCCGGCCCATTGCCCTGGCCGTGGTGGCCCGGACCCACTGCTCAGGAATGCACAGAGAAGACCTTCCATGTTATACCGTTTATTTCATCTGCATCGCCACTGTCTCCTCCCTCCCCCGCCGCCCCTGAGAGGGGGTGGAAGCCCCAGTTGGAAGGGAAGGGACTACTGTTTCCTCCCGGGAGAGGGACGGTGTCCCCTGGGCCAGGCCCTACTGATGGCAGAGCGAGGGCATCGTCCAGGAGGCTGGTCAGGCGGATGCCCCTCGGATGCCCTGTGGTCCTGTGGTCACCGGGAACAGGAAGAGCAGAGAAGCCCGGAGGGTGTGTGCGTGGCTGACAGAGGCAGACCTGGACTTGGGGGGCGGGGAGCAGGGACCAGGGAATGTGGTTCGAGGCCGGAGAAGGAGCTTGGGTTACAGGGCTGCTGGGTGTGGGGCGAGTCCACTAGGGGACTGGGGGGTGGGGGGAGCCGGGCTGTGCTCTAAGAACCAGGCTCCCGGGACAAGGGCCGAGCTGCAGGGGCTGGTCAGGGGCTGGCCTGAGGCCGGAGGGCAGGGGGGCGGCTGGCAGGGGCGGAGGGCAGGGGGGCGGCTGGCAGGGGCGGAGGACGGGGACCTTGGGTGGGTGGTAGGGCCAAGGCCCTGGGGCTACCGTAACCGGCTCTGAGCTTCGCGGACGTCAGCCCAGCCGGGCCTGGCCCCCAACCACCAGTTTGTGCTCTGGGCTGCTCCGGGGCTCCCAGGGTGGCCTCAGGAGGCAACAGCTGTCCCCAGGACGCCTCCACGTCAGCTTTCTGGAAACTTCCTCCCCCGCGCGGACAGACAGACTCCCGAGGCGGATCCTCTGCCATCGCAGGGGCGGGACAGGGCGGCGGCGGGCAGGAGCCGCGCTGGGCCAGTTCTCAGACTCAGGAGCCCCTGCGTTCGGTCCGTTTGGGACGGGAGGGGCCCGCCGGCCCCGGTGGGGCGGGGCGGGGCGGGGGCCGCGGGGCCTCAGAACGCGCCCTGCCCGTCCCCCGGGCAGCCGCCGTCCCCGTGGACGATGAGCACCGGGAAGTACAGGGCGTCCTCGTAGCTCGGCGGGCTCTCCAGCGGCTCCGTGTCCTCCCCGCGGCGGCCGGGCGGCCCCCCGCTCAGGCTGCGGAAGACGCCGGGCGCCGCGCGGCCGCCCGCCCCCAGCGACAGGCGGCTGCGGCTGAAGGGCAGGCGGGGCCCGGCGGGCCGCGCGGGGGGCAGCGAGCTGCTGCTGACGGAGCGGCGGCAGCGCTGGCAGCCGCGCAGGTAGGCGCCCGCGCCCGCGCCCATGCCCACGGCCTCCGAGTAGCTGGGCACCAGCTGCCGGTTGGAGCAGATGTGCCACTCGAGCTCCGTGAAGTCCACGGTGGCCACGCGCGACAGCGGCGGCGGCGCGCTGGGCCGGCCGGGCTCGCCGGCGCCGAACAGCTTCTCCACCTGGTAGTGCACGTGCGCCGTGCCGCACGCCGCCGCCACGCGCAGCGGCCAGGACAGCGTGGCGGCCGACACCACCCAGAAGACCCAGGCGCGCGCGAACCAGGGCGGCCGGCGCGGGTCGGCGAAGACCAGCAGGCAGTCGCGGAAGTCCACGTCCTTGAGGTGCATGCCCTCGCGCGCCTCCAGGTAGTCGTCCAGGCCCTCGTGGGCGCCGAAGAAGCGCGCGCGCTGCGCCAGGTAGGCCGCCTCGGCCTCGGCGCTGCCGAAGCTGAAGCGCTTGGAGAAGCGCAGGCGCGTGGCGGCGTGCGCGCCCAGGCCCACCAGCTCCTTGGACACGTCGCGCACGCCGAGCGCCGAGTAGTCGAACTCGGCGCGCGCCGTGCGGCTGTCGGCGCGCTCGTGGTAGACCTGCGTGGTGGTGTAGGCGTCGCCGTTGCGGTAGCGCGTGACCTGGCGCGTGCGCCGCACGTAGTGGTAGCTGGTGGCCTTCCACCACACGCAGGGCGGCGCGCGCCGCAGCCGGCCCACCAGCGCCAGCACCGTGCGCGCGTCCGTGCGCGGCGCCCGGCGGGCGCGCGCGTGGCAGTGCCAGCACTCGGCCAGGTAGAGGAGGTAGAGCAGCGACACGAAGGCCAGCGGGATGTACAGGTAGCCGTCCGAGCAGGGGCTGGCGGCGTAGGTGGGCGGCGGCGCGCCGGGCCCGCGCGCCAGGGCCGCCTCGGGCCCCGGGACCAGCCGCGGCACCGTGGCCAGGCGGCACCAGGCCACCACGCCGCCGCACGCGTGGATGAGCAGCGTGAGGAGCAGGCACTTCCAGTGGGACTCGCGGCACAGGGAGCTCCCCAGCGACTGCTTCAGGGGCCGCTGCTGCGGGCGGGCAGAGAGGGAGGGCGTCAGGGCGCTGGCACCGGGCCCCGGGGCGCCGGGCTCCCCGTGCCACCGATGAGGAAACGGAGGCTCCGAGAGACTGCAGAACCGGCTCCAGGCCTCCCCCTTCTAGCTAACGCGCAGGAGAGCGGCAGGACTCAAACCCAGGCCGGGCGGCCCCAGTCTGCCTGGGCGGGGTCGTTTCTCAGCCAAGGGCATCGAGGTCAAAAGGGACCCATCTCGGCCAAGAGAAGGAAGAACCCCTCCCTGGCCGTTGAGAAAACTGAGCTCTGGTCCCCGCTCTGCCCCAGACTCTCGGTGTGGTCCTGGTCACATCCCTGCCCCTCGGCCTCCGTGCCAGACCTGCCGGTGTGGGAGCCAGGGCGGCAGGGGCCCTGCGGGTAAAGAGCACGGGCCCTGGAGCCGGCTCCCCCACTCAGTGTGTGACTGGGGCGGGTCCCTCGCGCTCTCTGGACCTCAGTTTCCTCCTCCGGGCCCTGGGCTTGCCGAGAGGACTCGGTGAGATCATGTGTGTGAAGAGCTCGGCACGGGGTCTGGCCGTGGGAATAAAGGTTATTGCTGTCCCTGAGGCTCCCTCCGCCCCCTGGGTCCACCAGGGACAGCGGAGACCGAGCGGTTCTTAAGGAGACGAGAAGGAGGGAGAGCTGGGCACGGGGGAGGTGTGAGTCTGGGGAGCAGGTGGAGGGCCGGCCTCCGCTCCCATCTGTGCTGCCGGAGGGGGTGGGCACAGCTGCTGGGCCGCAGGGCCACTCCCCGGCCCAGAGGGTTCGCCCACCCTTCCTGGCAGCGCTGCCAGCCTGTCACCCACCCCCTCCCCAAGGTGCCTGTGGAGAGAGGGAGGCCGGCGGGAGAGGAGGGGGGGAGGGGGGTTTCCACCTGGGTCTGGTGGAAACAGCACAGGTGGGCTTAGTCGGCCGCCTCTCCCACTCCAGCCCACAGGCCTGGAGAGACCCAGGCGGGGAGGAACCACGCCCATCCCAGCCCCGGGCCTGCCCTCCCCCTGCACCCGCCGCCACAGTGCACACCCTGCCCTGACCCGCAGCCCGCGAGGCACACACCCACCCGTGCACACCTCCCACCCACACTCATCGCACACCCAGCTCCAGATGTGCGTGCTGCTGCTCAGCCAGGACACACCGGATCCGCACCTGTGCCCGGCACAACCCCAGCCCTGCACCGCGACACCGTGTGCAGGCACACACGCACACGCTCACCACCGGACACATGCATGCACATACATGTCACACATTCACTGACGTCCGGAGCACACCAGGCCCTCACGTGGCCGCAGTGTACATCCCACCCCCACAGGCTGGCTCTAAGGAGGGGCTCCTACAGAAACACACATGCACACACACATGACCGCTTCACCCAGCCCGGGGGCCCGGCAGGCCGCCCCTGACCTGAGGGCCCATGTGTCCCACCCGAGGTGTGGGGAGTGCGGACCGGCATTCACACACCGACAGGCACCCCCCACTCACCCAAACACACACACAGACCCACTCACCCCTATCACCCCACACCCACAGCCAGGGCTGAGGAGGAGACATGCAGGGGGGAGGGGGGGTCCCAGCCAGCAGCATCGGTCCAGGCCCTCCCCGCTGGGTGAGGAAGCAGGGGTACCAGAGGCCTCCTCCCTTCCTCCTTCCCTTCCTCCCCCACCATCTCTGCCTCCCGCCCCCAGTGCCTGCTCCTGCTGCTGCATTGCAGGCTCTGCCTGGCGCCTCGTGAGCAGCCAGGACAGGCTGGGGGCCTGACCCCTGGGCCCTGGGGGTGAGGGCAGCGCTGCGGATGGGGTTTGAGGGGCCAGGCGCTGACGTCACAGGAGGGGGAGCTGGAACAGGGGACGCGGGAGCGGGAATCGCCCCCCCCCATCCCTTCCCAGATGCCCCACCCCTGCACCCACGCGGGTCCCTAGGCCCCGACCCCTCGCAGGGCGCAGGCTACCCCGATGACGTCATTGACTCCCCACCCAGCCCCTGTCCGGGATTCGCTCCTTCCCTGGCCCCCCTTCCCCCCTGGCCCCGCTCCGACCAGCCCGGCTCCCGCCACTCAGAGCCCGTACCTCCTCTCGCGGCGGCTCGCCGTCCGGGAGGGCAGGCACCTCCGCGCCATCGCCGCCGCCGCCGCCCTCGGGCATGGTGTTCTGGCTGCGTGGGCGCCCAGGGCCCGGGCCCCGGGCATGATAGGGGAGCGCAGAGGGTGCCGCTGGCCCGGAGGGCGTCCGCTCGGCTCGGCGGCCGCGGAGGGAGTGCACCGAGCTCGCCCGAGCGCGGCGGCGGCGGCGGCGGCGGCGGCGTTGGCGGCCTCGGTGCCCGGCGCCCCGCCCTCCGCTGACCCCGCCCCCGCGGCACCGGCGGCGCCGCCAGCAGAGCCTGGCACCGCGGGCGCTGCCCCAGCCCCCGGAGCCCAGGCTGGGCGCTGCCCCAGCCCCCGGAGCCCAGGCTGGGCGCACCGGCGCCTGGTTCCCTCCTGCCGCGCTTGCGCCTGTGATCCGGGGCGAGTCTTCGCTCTCCGGGGCCCGAGCTTCTCCCGCTCCCTGCCCCGCCGTGCCAAGAGAAGAAAGATTTCCAAGGAGGGTGTCTACTGCTGAGGAGCAGGCCAGCCTGGCCACCCAGCCCCCAGCCCGGAAGCCTGGCTTGTGGAGAGGAGGCAGGTGCAGCCCAGACGGAGCCCCACTAGCTGGACAGCGGCTCTGGGTTCCACTGAGCACAGGCTCCCTCAGCAGCCTCGCTTCCCCCCCCTGAGGAACGCAGATGGAAAGGCGCCAGATTCAATCAAAGCACAAACACCCCTCACACGGTTGGGGGGGGGGCTGTCCTGCCGGGGAGGCCTCCTCCCAGGGACCTGTGGCTCCAGTGCTGCTCCCTGGCCCTCAGGCCTCAGACCTGCACACCTGTCCCTGCCTCTGGGCCTGGCCCCCAAACTGGACCATCGGTGGGTGGGACGTGGGGAGCTGCAATGCAGGCAGGTTTTGCTTTGTGATTCCCTCGCCCCTCCCCCCCCAAAGGGCAATTCAAAGGCAATTCGGTTCAACACCCCTGCCCACTACAGTTGAGGTAACTGAAATGGTGGAGAGAAGGAAGGCCTGACCCTGGGTTTATCCATTCGTTACGTATTGATCGGCACCGATGTTTACTGGGTGTCTTCTGGATGCAGGTGCTGTGCCCGGCACTGAGAAGACAGGGCAGGAGGAGAATGACCCAGCCCTGTCCTCGTGGATGTCACATGCAGCCAAACATGCAGCCAAAGGGAACCTAGAACCTTCAGCCTCCACCCCAAGCCAGGGCCTGTCTCCCCTTTGTCTCCCGAGAGGCACAGGCGGACTGACTGAAGGACAGCTAGACCTTGGACACGTGGGTGTGAGGAGGAAGGGCATGCCTGCTGGAGGGGACTCTGGGCAAAGGCACTGAGCCTGGACCACGTGGGCCAGGAAGTCACCTGGTGTAACTGGACACTGGGCAGCTGACTCGAGGGAAGCCACAGGCGCCCTGATCTTGCTCTCCAGAAAGTGGTGGCTGTGGACTGGTCCCCAAGGACTGTCTCCGGGGAGGCTGAGTGGTCAGAAGCCGGGTGGAGAGAAAGGAGGCCCAGGGATCGCGAGTGAGGCTGGGGGGGGGGGGGGAGATGACCGCAGGGCCAGCAATGACTCGGGTGTTTCAGTGCAGCACATCTCCACCGCCTGTGCCACAAAGCAGGCCTGGTCAGGATCCTGTCCCAGCTCTACCACCCACTCTCGGGAGCTCGGTTTTTCAATGTGTGCAGTGGTGCTGGTGTGGATCGGGCGCCCAGGACCTTCCAGCAGCAGGCCCCCCCCTCCCCCCCGGCGGGGTCTGCAGGATGGCGTCAGCGGCAGGAGATCATTTCAGCACCCGACGACGGACAGCACCCGCGCAGGAAAGGGGTGGGAGGCGGGAGGAGGAGTCAGCGTCCCCGGCTCCCTGGGCTGTGCCGTCACCGCCCGGTCCGGCCTCCTGCCAACACCTCCAGGCAGCCCGGGCCCGTGCCAGGACTCGGGGGGAGGGGGTGCGGGGGACGGGAGGAAAGCGGCTATTGAGAGCGGGGGGGGGGGGCAAAAGAGCAGAGGGGCGGGGCTTGGCCAGAACCCCACCCCCTTCCCTCCTGGAGCAGGTGCGGCGAGCGAAACTCCGTTCCCGGATCCCAGCCGCAGCCGGTCCACGCCGGGCGGCCGCCGGGTGTAGTCGTGGCAAGACTGGCATCAAGTGCGCACTGCGCAAGCGCGGAAGTAACTCTCAACACCCTTCTCCAGTAACTTGCCTATTGGCTGCCCCGCCGAACCGTCGAACCCACTATCCAATCGGAGAGCACCTCGAATTGCTCCGCTTCCCGCCCCTCCCGGAAGTTGGCCGCTGCCGAATCCGCTGCGGCGACGGGCTGGCAGCAGCCAATTGGGAGAGGGGGAGGGACGGGCCGCCGCCGCCGAAGGACCAATAGGCGGTGGCTCACGATGACGCTGCCGACATGGCGGCTGCGGTCTCCCGGCCCGGGACGTGTCGGGCTGCTCAGTGACTCCGGCCGGTGCTCGGGGAGCGGAGCAGCCGCCCCATTAGTGTTCGTGCCCACGGGGCAGCGCGGCGGGCCCTCCGGAGAGCGAGCGTCGCGGCCATGGCTTATCACTCGGGCTACGGAGCTCACGGTGCGTGGGGCGGGCGGGGCGGCCCGACCGCCTCCGGAGGGTCAGCGGCGCGGCCCTCTCCCCCCCGAGGGGAAGGGGCAGCCCGCCCGCCGCCCTGGGCGGCGGGGTCAGTGGGGCTCCACTCGACCACGCGTCCTGGACTTCGCCCTCTCGGCCGATCTGGAGATGGGGCAGTGACGGCACAGCTGGGATCCCCATTCCGGGTCCGGGCCCCACCAGGGCCGCCTCCACTCCCTGTCAGGACCCCGCTGGCTCCCCGAGCATTGCCCGGGCCTTCGGGCACCCAGCCCCGCCTTCCCCACCTTTGTCCACTTGGAGGTGCCCTCGCAATGGCCTTCTCCGCCTAGCAAGCCCCTCACCAAGGCTGGGCAGAGATGGAGCCCGAGGCCCACAGCCACCCCGGCCCGGCCGCAGCGTTCTTCGCCTCCATTTGGCTCCTCTGAGAACCAGCCCTGGGGACAGGGGGTGGTGGTTTGGGCTCATGCTTAGTATTCCCGTCACCTACTCCTACTCCGCCACCTGCAAACCCACAGGCTCCAAGCACAGGACCCGGGCAGCTCCGGACCCCCCTCCCCTCTTCGATGACACAAGCGGTGGCTACCCCCTCCAGCCCGGAGGATACCCAGCCCCGGGAGCCGACGTGGCCTTCAATGTCAACCACTTGCTCGGGGACCCGGTGGCCAACGTGGCCATGGCCTACGGCAGCTCCATCGCCTCCCACGGGAAGGACATTGTGCACAAGGAGGTGTGGTGCCCCCCAGGGCGAGGGTGGCAGGATTCCTGGCCAAGGCGGGGCCTCAGGGAACCCCACCTGCTCCCCACGGCATCCCTGAGGGCCGGTGCCCGGTGCCCACAGCCTCCTCTCTCTTCCCTCCCAGCTGCACCGCTTTGTGTCTGTCAACAAACTCAAGTATTTTTTCGCTGTGGACACAGCCTATGTGGCCAAGAAGCTAGGGCTACTGGTCTTCCCCTACACGCACCAGGTGAGCCGGCAGCCCCCCGCCTCATCCTGCTCCGGACCCTGGCCCCCACCTCACCCTTCTCTCCTCCCTTGTCTGTCCCCTCGGCTGCCGCCGCCACGGCCAGAACTGGGAGGTGCAGTACAGTCGTGATGTCCCTCTGCCCCCGCGACAAGACCTCAACGCCCCTGACCTCTATATTCCCAGTGAGTCTGGCCCGGGCTGGGGGTGTGCGGGGCCACCAACGAGGAGAGAGCCGGGTGTGATCAGCACCTGCTCCCGGTGCTTCTGTGCATGGCGTTCACTCAGTACCAGGCAGACAGCGGGCTGACCAGGCAGGAGCTGCCGGGGTACGCCCTCAGCGACCTCGGGGTACACCCTTTCACCCCTTCCTGCCTCCCTCCCCAGCCTGGAGCCTTGGACTTGGACCTCACCTGGCTCCTTTCGCTCCTTTGTAAAAGGAAAATGACAGCAGTTCCTTCGGGAAGGCTCTGTGGAGTCTTAGCGAGGAGGTGCGCTCAGCACAGCCCCTGGCCCGCAGGAGGTGCACTAAGGAGCCCCCGGCCTGCTCAAAGCCCCTCCCCCTGAGCTCCCAGGCTTCCTGTCCATTCTTTGCTGGGCCTGCGGACTCCACATCTGACTGCTCCGGAGAGTGCCCGGCCAGCCCGCACAGCAGCTGCCGAGGGCAGATAGCCAACCCAGGGCCCGAGGGACAGGGGTTCCTCTTCCGTCCTTCCTTCCATCTCCCTCTCAGGACCGCCGAGTGAGGTGGGAACTCCGCTCCCCTTTTACGGGGAGAAGCCAAGCTCCCAGACTTGAGTATCTTGCAGGTGGTAGAACTGGTTTCCTGACCCCAACACTGCCCTCTGGTGGGCACATCAGAGCCGGCGCTTCAGCTGGCCGAGGACAGGACTGATGGGTTACCAGGAAAAGCTGTGAGAGCCCAGCTCCCAGAGGCTGAGCTTTGGTGGAAACAGTTACACGTGGGGCCCTGCATGGCAGGGAGGCCAGAGCTGTGGCTGGCACCCATGTCCAGACTTAGAGCTGGCTGCAGGGAGGCCACCCCTGGCCCGGACCTAGGGACAGCCTGGGTCGTCCATCCAACCTGCACTTTGGTCCTAAGTTTTTCCTGAGATAGTTTGGCCCCTGCCTGTGGGTCTAGAATGAGCAATAACCTTGACCGGTGATGTTTCAGAGACAGCAGGAAACTTTTGGTGAGTTTCCTAGCACAGGGGCAGGAGGCAAGGGGCTTGGTCCTGAGAAGAGGACCAGGTGGCATTTACACGGGGCCCTGGGCTGAGCTGGGAAAGGCGGCCCAGGCAGGGTGCAGGGGTGGGGTGCTGGGGGGCTGAGGGCGAAGGTCGGTCAGTTTGGGACCGACATGCAGGGAGGGAAGCATGAGGGGGAGGTAGGGGTATCCGTGGCCTCAGTGCCTAGGTGGGGAGGGCTCTGGTTGAGGAAACCAGGCTGATGGCATCTCTCTGGCTCTTGGCAGCAATGGCCTTCATCACCTATGTATTGCTGGCTGGGATGGCACTGGGCATTCAGAAAAGGTCAGTGCCGACCCCCTCCCATCCCTGCTCTTCTCCGCGGCAGCCTGGGGGCCCTGTGCCGGGTCCCAGTCCCACACCTGCCGCGGGATGGCTGGTTCTCCAGTGCCCGCCCCTCCCTGCCACAGGTTCTCCCCGGAGGTGCTGGGCCTGTGCGCCAGCACGGCGCTGGTGTGGGTGGTGCTGGAGGTGCTGGCCCTGCTCCTGGGCGTCTACCTGGCGACCGTGCGCAGCGACCTGAGCACCTTCCACCTGCTGGCCTACAGCGGCTACAAATACGTCGGGTGAGCGCCCCGGAGCCAGGCGGGGGATGTACAGTCCGTCTCCATGGAGCACAGGGTTCGGGGCCTGGCGCTGGGGTAGTGAAGGTCTCAGATCCCGGTCCTGGGCTGAGTCTGGGCCTTCCAGGTTCACTCTGAATCTAGGTCCCTGTGGGGACAGACTGGGGGCTAAAAGTCCCGGGTGGTGGTGGGTGGGGTCTGTGCTGGGCCCTGGCTGGTTGGGGCCAGCCTCAGGCCTGGACCCTTGTGGGTGTCTCCAGCCGCCTCCCCCCCGGCCCTGCAGGATGATCCTCAGTGTGCTCACGGGGCTGCTCTTCGGCAGCGATGGCTACTACGTGGCACTGGCCTGGACCTCGTCTGCTCTCATGTACTTCATCGTGAGTCTGGCTGCCCTGCCCCTGCCCCTGCCCCAGGCTGGAGCTGGGCTGCCCCGCCCGTCTTCCCGGGGCTGGAGCTGGGGGTGCGCCCTCCCCGCCCAGCTCAGCCGCGGCCTTCCTCCCAGGCGCGCTCTCTGCGAACAGCAGCCCTGGGCCCCGACAGCATGGGGGCCCCGGCCCCCCGGCAGCGGCTCCAGCTCTACCTGACTCTGGGGGCTGCGGCCTTCCAGCCCCTCATCATCTACTGGCTGACCTTCCACCTGGTCCGGTGACCCCTGGCCCGGCTGGCATTGATTTTCCCATTTATTAAAGATTTGATTTCCTTGGTTTTGTCTGACCCTCGTTTCTGGGGCCTGAGGCGGAGTTGCCGGCACCTCTGCAGCGTCCAGGGGAACAGGTTTGGGACCGCCTAGAAGGAGGGGGACCCTGGGGGGCTTCCTGGGCTAGTGACCTTGATCTTTCCTTGTAAGGCAAGGGGAAGGGCTCCTTCGGAACAGCTGTTTGCGTCGGGAACGGGGTGATGGAGGGGACAGCTGCAGGGAGACCCCGAAGCCTCCGGTCCACCTGAGGGGGACCCCAGAGGGGCCTGGGCTGGTGCGCAAGCCTCGCTGTGCTGAGGTGCAGCTCACGGACGCCCTTCCATGGGCCCTCGGCCCATCTCTCGAGCCTTTGGGAGCAGACCTGGGCCCAGGTGTTTGCAGTAGTTTATTCATATTTTGTCACAAATGGCCGGGGAGGGGGTGCCGGACTCCTCCAGGCGACATAGAAAATGGGTCCAAGAGACAGGTGTGCTGGGCGGGGCAAATGGGACAGGAAGGAGCTTGAAGAGCCTGGGGGAGGGGAGAGGGCAGGCTAGGAGTGGGACTGCCCCCTGCTGAGCCTGCTCATTCTGGGTGTGGGTACCCCCCCACCTGCAGGGGGAGCCTCAGGGTGGGGCTGAGGGGGGTGGCCCAAAACTTCAGGGTCAAGCCCTGCCCCTGCAGGGCCCTAGTCCTTCCCAAACTTGGACGAGGCCGGAGGCCCCGCCCCTCCCAGGGCTGGCCGCCATGCCCGCAGGCTGGCAGAGGACTCCCGCCCCTGCTTAGGGCTCTGCCCAGCCCCAGTCCAAGGGGCGCGGGCTCTGGAGGCGGGAGGTCCCCGCAGCAGCAGTTTGGGGGGTGGAGGAGACTGGGGGCACCAGTGCCCCTTCCCTCCTCGGGGCTGAGGCCACTGGGGCCGAGGAGCAGGGCTGGGGGTGCACAGGCGTCCGGTCCGTTCTGGGCTCGCTCCCTGGCCGGCTTCCCCCTTAGAAACTCACCAGCGTATAAACCATACTGCGGGGAGACAGGAGTGAGCGGAGGCCCCGCCACGGCCGGCCGGCCGCCCGCCCGCCCGCCCGCCACACCCTGGCGGCTCCCAGTCCTCAAGGGCAAAGGGCAGGAACCAGGAGCCCAACCACCCCTGGGCCTGAGGCCCGGTGCCCGGAGCTCCCCCTCCCTGAGCCGGCTGCGCCTCACCTGTACAGATAGTAGAAGAAGGAGAGCAGGTAGAAGGCGAGTTTGCACCAGGACTCCTTCTGGCAGTAGTTGAGGATGTCGGCATTCATGATGGAGACGGCATCATACATGACCTCCGAGCCATCCGCAGGGCGGTGGAAGTACCTGGGCGAGGGGGACCTGAGTGCCCGCCCCCGGGCTCCGGCCCCATCCCCATCCCCATCCCGCCCCCGCTCCGGCCCCATCCCGCCCCCGCTCCGGCCCCATCCCGCCCCCGCTCCGGCCCATCCCGCCCCTGCTCCGGCCCATCCCGCCCCCGCTCCGGCCCATCCCGCCCCCGCTCCGGCCCATCCCGCCCCCGCTCCGGCCCCCCGCTCCGGCCCCTCACCTCCAGAGGTGGTAGAAGAGGAGCGGGATGTTGAGGCCCAGGGTCACCCACTCGGCTGCGCACAGAAACATCAGACAGAAGAGGCCGTGGATGGAGTACTCCGGGACCACCAGCTGGGGGTGAAGGTGAGAGGTCAGCTGGGGGTGAAGGTTAGAGGTCAGCTGGGGGTGAAGGTGAGAGGTCAGGGGCCCTCGGCCAGGACAAACCCAAGCTTCCAGAGGGAGGGAGCTGGGATTTGGACACTGCCCGCCCAGCGTGAGCTCTGGGCCCTGAAAGGCCCCTCGCCTCCCACCCCTCCCCGGCGGCAGAGACCAAACCGGCTCCAGGCGGGAGGGTCACAGAAAGGGGCTGGGCCGGGCTCGGAGCCGCCTGCCTCCGACCCTGACACTGACCTTCCTCAGGAGGCAGCAGATGCGCTCGATGTTTTTCAAACGCTCGCGCTGTGGGGAGGAAAGCCGCGATGGGTCAGCGGAGCGGCAGGAGCAGGTACCCAGGAACCTCCGCCGCCCGGGCTCCCGCCCCGCCCCGTGTGGCCGCCAGGGGGCACCAGAGCAGCCTCGGCAGGAGCGCAGCCACACCATCCCCATGGCAACCGTCACCATGGAGGGACTTTCACCCGCATCACCACGGCAACGGCGCAGAGCTTGGCAACGGCCGCCCCGCCAGGAGCGCGCGCCGGAGCCGCGCCAGGTGCGTCCAGCCGGGGCGGGACGGGCAGAAGGGGCAAAGCCGCCGGTCCTCCCCCTCCGCACACACCCCGTCTTCCCGTCCCCCCCCACCCCCCCGCAGCCCAAACAGATGGAAGGACAGACGGACGGACACACCTCGGCACAGCACATGTATCACTTACTGCCCGCGCTGGGTTCCCCTGGTCGATGGGGTTCTTAAAGTCGGTCCGGAGCTCATCAAAGGCTATGATCTGGGGAGGGGGTGCCTGTCAGGCTGGAGCAGCAGCGTCCGGCCCCCACCCGCCTTCTGGGGGGCAGTAATTCACAATGGGGCCAGACCGGGGGAGCTGGCCGCGGAGGCGGAAATCAGGCTCAGGAAGGACAGGGCCCGGCCCCAAGTCCGACAGGCCTGGGATGGAACCTAGTGACGCCCAGCGCAGGCCGTGTCCACGATGGTTCACCCCAAACACCCGAGGGGTGTCTTCTCTGCCGAGCCCTGTGCCAAGCACCGGGGTCCCCGAGGCCTGGGCCGCGGCTCCTGCCCTGGTGGAACCCGGGTCCGGGAGAAGTGGGGCTGCCTTCCAGGGCGGTCAGGGCTGCAGGGCCCAGGGAGGACAGGAAGCGGGTGCTGACCCAGGGTGGAGGGATGCAGGGTCCCGCTGGTGAACAAATGGGGTGGGGGCAGTCTGAGCAGCAGGAACAGCAGGCAAAGGGGTGAAAGAATATTCTGGAAGTTGCAGGTTCTCTGGGCTAGAATGAAGGTGTGAGTGAGTGGAAAGAGAAGAAAATGGTGAAAGATGGGCTGGAGAGGTCAGCAGTCGGCCAGGGGTGCTCGGTGAGGCTGGACCAGACGTCTGGACTTGAACAAACAAGTAACGGGGAGCCGCTGGAGGGGTACAAGGCAGCAAACTGGCTAATCGTTTCAGCCAAGAGGCACATGAGCTTACTCTGTGCAGCAGACTTTATGTTCGCGAACTCATTTAACGCTGGCAGCAACCTGCTGATGTAGGTATTGTTTCCATTTTGCAAACGAGGAAACAGACAGAGATGTGACTAGTCCAAGACCACACAGCTGGTGAGTGGCAAGCCAGGATTCGAACTCAGACTCTGGAGTAAACTCCGTAACCACCTTATCAGTCAGGACAGACCAGCGAGGGGCCTGCGAGTGTTTGGTGCTGACGGGGATCTGGGGGAGGGAGTGGTGGGATTGGAGGGGGGTGGGCTCCAGAGCCGTTTAGGAACCAGACTCAGGGCTTGAGGAGCATCGAGCAGAGGCAGGGAGCCCAAGGGGCCTGTGTGAGGGCCCCTGGGGGGGCAGTGCCCTCACCGGGAGGGGAGCTTGGGGAGCAGGTGTGTGAGGGGATGATGGGACAGACCTCGGGAGCACTGGCATGGGAGGTCTGAGAGGAGGCTTCTGGGGCCTCCCCCCGCAGCAGCCCAAGAGGAGACAGCAGGCCCACCGGGCCCCAGCAGCCCAGACCCCAGACGGCTGGGAGGGAGAGAGCACGGGCTTCCTGTTCTCCATCTGGAGCAGCACCCCGACTCCCTACTGACTCTGGGCAGCCACCTGCCTGCCAGGCCCCGCAGCGGGTCTGCAGGGAGCGGAAGGGTGCCGCCTGCCTGCCCCAGAGCGGGCACCACCAGCAGGAGGCGGGTGTCTCGCCTCCTACCCCCCAGGCTGCCTGGCGCTGACTCAGCCCCTGGAACAAACACCCCCCCACGGCGACAGCTGACACGCGTCACTCACCATCAGGGTTGCCTAGCGACCAGTGGGCTTGGGCTCAGGCTGTGGGGTGGGATCTGGTCCTGCCCTGAGAGGTTCTAATTCTTACCCGTTTGGATCCAGGACCACACCTCCTGTACTCACCCCGCCCCTGAGCAGGCCCTGCTCTGGGCCCTGTCATGTACACACCACAAGCCCATCTTACTGATGAGGAAACAAACTCAGAACGAGGGGTCGTAACTGAGGTCACCCAGCAGGATACTGAGCCAGCACAGAGCCCGGCGTGCAGTAGGTGCTCAATAAATGTCTGCCGAGACAGCTGGGCCTTTCTCCCAGCCTGGGGACCCCACAGGGCAAAGCCCGAGTCTTATTCACCCCTGCCTTTCCCAGAGCCACCCAGAGCGGGATCTCAGGAAGCAGGGACACCAGTTAGTTGGATGGATGACTTCTCTGAGGACCCCTAAGGACAGGGGCCCCCCAGGGACTGTGGGAGGCCTCTGGGTAGGGAGGGGCCCAGAAAGGAGCTTCTTGAATTTTGGGAGCCTTTCTCCCGGGAGCTGGTTAGCTCTGAGATCCCAGTCTCAATTCCTTCCGCCTGCAGGACCCCAGCCCTCCTGCTCCTAAGGCCCAGATGAAATGGGGAACTCAGAAAGATCAAGATGGACCCCGGCGGGGATAGAGCGAGGGGAAGAGAACAGAGGAAGGGGGAGGGAAAGAAAAAAGCAACTGAGAGGCCCAGAGAGAAAGACAAAGCCAGGGAGGGAGAGAGAGAGAGGCCTGGAGATGGTGTGTGTGTGTGTGTGTATGTGTGTAAGAGAGAATGTGTGTGTGAGAAAAGGTGCCCAAGGGAGCTCACTCCTTACTCAGGAGAGAGGTCTGAGTCCATGGAGTCTGATAGAAAAGAGATGGGAGGCAGGGGGTGGTGAAGGGAGACTGGTCAGAGCTGGGAGGACCATGGAGCCGGCAGGCGGCAAACCCCAGGAAAAGGAAGGAGAGAGGGAGTGGGGAGACAAGGAGAGAGGCAGGGAGACATTGGGGAAGAAGTGAGAGGAAGGAGGGGGACAGGGAAGGATTGAGGGGGGAAAGGGTGACCCGCAGAGGGAACAATCGGGAAGGGGTGTGCTGGTGCCAGCAGGTTGAGGGGAAGGGCCAGGGTGAGATGGGCTGGGGGAGTGATGGGCTGAGGAGCCAGAGGAGGAGGGAGGCGGGGGGCTAAAGGCCCCAGACAATGAGCTGAAAGGCCGGCTCGTGGCTCTGTGTGAGGCAGGGAGCCAGGCTGGTGGCTCTGTGTGAGGCAGGGAGCCAGGCAGGGGCCCCACCGGGAGGGCAGAGAGAGGGGACCCCGAGGCAGGGCGGTCAGGATGAAGATGAGAAATGGAGCTTCTCCAGGGCCAGGTGTGAGGCTGGGCCAGTGAGAGACAAACCAGGGAACAGCAGACAAAGGGGAACGCGGGGGCAGGACGCGGAGGGAAGCTGGAAAGTGGGGAGGAGACCTGGTGGGGACACGCAGGGGTAGGGAAACCCAGGTGAGCTGGGGGTGGGGGCAGGTCTCTGGGCTGCTTAGAGGCAATGGCTGCTGGGTCAGGAGGGGGATGGGAAGGAAAAGGGTTAATGGGCTCCGCGATCTGTGGGTCCTGTAAACAGATGCAGTTGCCATAGCAACCGGCTCCATCACTCGGGCTGGAAAAACCCACAAGGGGGGTGGGGGGAGCAAGCAGACCGACGGAAACGGGGGCAGCTGGATGGGGGCATCAGGCAGTGGGGGCTGAAAGAAGCAAGGACCTCAGAATCCCACCCCATCCTCCAGGCTGCTCGGGGCAGGGAAGGGAGTCAGGGCCGACGGGCAGACCACAGAGCGGGGGCGGCGGGGGCAGGCCGCCCGGGAAGGGAAGCCGAGCACAGGGGCGTTCAGGGCCGGCAGGAGCCGCGGGGGGGGGGGCAGAGAGGAACCCCGGTCTCCCTGGGCCCAGACCATCCCCTCGGGCCGCTCCCGCCCGCCCCCCGCCCGCGCCCGGCCCCGGCTTACGTGCCAGATGACAAAGAAGATGAGGGAGGCGCACAGCACCAGGGTGAGCATGTAGCAGAACGCGGCGAAGGTGAACGCCATGGCCCCCGCGCCCGGCGGCCCGGGGGGCGCCAGCGCGGGGCCCGGGAAGGGACGCCCCCCGGCCCGCGCTCAGGGCCGGCCGGGCATGGCCCGGGGGAGGGGGACGCTGGCGGCGGGGCCGGGGCCGGGGCCGCGGGCCGGGGGGCTCGGGCGGCGCGTCCGCTGCCGGCTGCCCGGGCCCCGATCGCTCATCCTGCGAAGCCTCGCCCGCGGCTCCCTCTCCAGCCCGCGAACCGGGGGGCGGAGCCGGGGGCGGGGCCGCTGCCGGGCCTCGGGCGGGGCGGGGCGGTCTCCGGAGCCCAGCCGCCAGCGACCGGCCCGAGCGCCCCGCCCGCCCGTGACACGGAGGAGGGCACCGCCCCCACCCGGCACCGCCCCACCCGCCCCGATGGGCTCAGACCGCCCACCCGCCGTCAGCCTCGGTCCCGGGACCAGCACCCACCGCTCCCCTGGCCGGATTGGGGGTGGGGGGGAGCGCTGTCACGGTCCAGGGGCAGAGACCCCGGCCGGAGGCCAGCGAAGCCAGAGCGGGGCTGAGCCGGAGGCCTGGTCCCGGCCATTCCCAGCCTCACGGCCTGCTGTGCCGTGGGTGCTGGCTTCACCTGGTGCCGACGGCCTGTCCCTCCCTGACGGAGCCCTGCTGGGCCCCGGGGACCCGCCACAAGCACAAGCCGCTCTCCTGGCTTCAGAAAGTGGGCCAAGGACTCTGGACAGCACCCAGGAGGCAGCCCACCTCCAGGCGGCTCCCCCACAGACCACACGCAGCCACAACTTCCTTGCAAAAACCCTCGGCTCGCCCGAGGGCCACTGGAAATTTATTTTTTTGTCCTTTCTGTCTTTTCCCCAAGTGGCTTTTCCTTGCAAAATGCCTGACATGACACCGGAGGGTAACCTGGGGGGGGGGGCACCCTAAGGGGCAGCCCGGGGACTTAAATACAAGCTGGAAGGCGGGGCACAGGTGGGACAGGCAGACAGCACAGGGACATGGCTTGTCAGGTGGAGACCGAAGGTTTGTTTTTTGCAGGGAGAAGCTGTGCCAGAGGCAGGGCTAGGATCCTGGGTGGGAGGGGGTGAGGAGAGAGGCCCCCAACCCTGGGTGGCACCCACATTCCCCAGAGAAGTAGCAACAGAGGACGAGGATCTGCCCTCGCAGGCTCGGAAGCCACTGTGCTGCCCCGGGGAAGGGAGGTGCCGGCAGAGTGAGGGTTAAGGCGGTGCCCAGCTCTGGCACGGTGCGCCTTCCACCTCCGCCTGCCTGAGCACAAAGGGGCGCGGTGGGCAGGCGGCACATGGGCCTGGCTCCGGCAGGGCAGGGGGTGGCAAGAGCAGGCTCCCTCTGGGCACAAGACACAGGCCCAGCTAGCTGCCCGCCCACCTGCACTCGATGGGCTCAGGCCTCACTGCAGCTGGACGGCTGGAGCTGTGAGTGTGGGAGGGGTGGGAGGAGCAGTAGGGAGGCGGCGAAAGGGGGGGCTGTGGGACCCCTGGAACCCCCATGCCCATCCTGAGGTCTGACCTAGGACCCTGGATCCCAGGTCCTGGTCCCCCGGTCCCATTTCTGACCTGGGCACTGACAGCCTGGGCAGCAGAGGCCAGGGCGGCCCTCGGTTCATGGGGAAGGGCTGGGCAGGGGAGAAAAGATAGAGAGAAACCCACTGCAGCATACACGGGGGCCGGGGAGGGAGACAGACGGGCCCTCGTCCCAAAGAGGGAACGTGGGGTGTCTTTTAACGTTTCCTAGAGGCGGCAGCAGAGCAAGGCCCGCCCCCGCCCAGCCCGGGCCTGGGGTCCTCCCCGGGGCCCTGGCGGAACTGAGGCTCAGGGCGGCAGGCGGATGGGCCAGAGGGAGATGAGAGCCAAGGACACCCCAAAGCCACAGACTCAAACGCCCCAGGAGAGGGAGCCCCCCGCCCCTCCAGGAGCATCATCTGGAGAAGGCGCCCTCCTGCCACCCGCCCTCTAGCAGCAGCCGCCGCCAGCCGGCTTCACGGGGGTGCTGTCGATCTTGAGGTTGGGGCGCTCGCCCCCCGTGGCGGCCCCGGGCCCCATCCGCTTCTTTATCTCCGCCGCCATGGTCATGAACGCCTGCTCCACGTTGGTGGCATTCTTGGCACTGGTCTCCAGGAAGGGGATGCCCAGGGAGTCGGCAAACTCCTGCCGAGGGGAGGGGAGGGCAGAGGAGAGGAGAGAAGGGGTGTGAGAGGCAGTCGCCCCGCCCCCCGGAGGCCCGGCCCGGCGCTCACCTTGGCCGTGGTGCTGTCCACCACCTTCTTGGTGGTGAGGTCACTCTTGTTGCCCACCAGCAGCTTGTTGACGTTCTCGCTGGCGTAGCGGTCGATCTCCTGCAGCCACTGCTTCACGTTGGCGTAGGATTCCTGGGGAGCCGAGGCCAGGTTACTGTGCCCCCCACCGCCCCGGGCAGCAGGGGGCTCTGGGAAAGGGCTGCCCTGGGCCCTGAGAGCCGGAGCCTGGACTCTCCTCCCTGCCCTCCTGCCCGAGACCCCAAAGCCAGCCCCAGCCCACCCGCTGTCTGCCAACAGCCCACACCCACACAATGTAGCCTGAGGGCCGAGCTTCTCTCTCCCTGAACCCCAAAAAGGCTGGGGAGCAAATGGTATCAGGTAGAGACCGAGATCGAGAGTAACAGGTCAGCACGGACCACGGTTCCTGCAGCGCCTCAGAGGCCCTCTAAGGGTGAGTCGTGGAGCCCGCGGCAGGGGAAGGGTCCTGCGGCGGAGACCCTGCCTCGGAGGGAGACAGGAGCTCTGGGAACAGAGCCTAACATTCACCCTCCTCTGGCTCTCGGGGGTTCGCCACTCCCCGCCCCCAGCCGGCCTGCGGGAAAGGACGGAACTTGTAGGTTGTGCGGAGCCAGAGCCACTTCCTTTCTGAGGAGCAGAGATGACAGATCACCGGGTTCAAACGCACCCCCCGCGTGTCCCAGGGGGCCCTGTGCTGGGCACGGGGTGAAGGAGGAGTGGCGCCTGGCCCTGCCCTGAAGCACCGGGAAAGGAAGGGCCAGACCAGGACACCCGGCGGCGGACAGGGTGCCGAGGCTGCAGGACGGGAGCTGGAGCTCGGGACCACCGCCCGGAAGGCTCCGCTGGCCCGCTCCTGCAGGGACGAGCGGCCTGCGAGAAAGCAGGAGGGGGGGAGCGGTGCAGGGAGCAGGCGGCAGGCGGTGGGTCACAGGTGCCAGGGGCACGGCGCCTTCGGAGCGGGGAGAAAGGAATGATGCTGGGACACAGGCCTGAGAGGAAGGAGAGGCGAGGAGCAGGCTAGGCCTGGAGGAGCTTGGCCTGGCTGCACCTTAGCCAGCCGGAGCCAGTGGGTTCTTAGGCAGGGAGCGGCAGGAACAGCCCTGTTCTGGGAAGACCGTCCTGGCAGGAGAGCAGAGGCCAGACCAGAGCGGAAGAAGATGGAGACCAACAGGAAGAGCAGCTGCGCCCTGGCCAGGGAGTGAGGCAGGCAGGAGCGCAGGGCCCAGGCAGACCATCCTGGGTGAAGCCCTGGCTTTGCCACTGACTGTGTGACCCCAGATATGTCAGCTGGCCTGAGCCTCAGTTTCCTCCCCTCTGAAAACCAGTACCTCCCAGTGGGCCTGTGGGCACGGGGCAGTGAATGCGGGCCTTCTCCTAACAAGTGCTTAGTTAGAAGGAGCTGCTGTTCGCCCTCACTGCCGTTGTTATGAGGAACCAGATCTGAGAGGAGCGGGAGGACAGAGAGGGCCTCAGAGGGTCTGGCTGGGGAGGGAAGCTTTCTGGCCAGGCTAAGAGGGAGCCAGAGCTGGTTCAGGAGATGGCGAGGCCAGTGTCCATCAAGGATGTGGAGCTCAGGGGGGCTGTCCGGGAGCAGGAAAGGGTGCGCTCAGAAGCAAAGAGCCCTGGGTTCAAACTCTGGCTTTGCCTTTCGGGCTGCAGGCAACAGCTCTCCAAGCGCGTCTCCTCACCAGGACACGGGGACCCACCACTTGGTCACTGGGTAACACTGGGAAGATCCGAATACAGACACAGTACCAGCGGGATGTCAACAAGAAGATCTACAGCGAGAGCTACTGAGACTCAGGAATCCCAGAACGTAAGACGGAAGCCAACCCCTAAGTGGCCCAAACCACGCAGGGAGCCAGGAGGTGGCTGGGGCCTGAGGAAGCCCACACACGGGCCAGGGAGCGCAGTACAGGTGACGCAGTGAAAAGCACTGGGAGATCTAGCGCAGAGGAGCTGGAGAGCTGGAGTGAGGAGGACGGAGTGAAAAGCCACGGGAGAGCCATCTGGGTGAGAACTGAAGCGCGGTCACGGGGTTTGGCAGTCAGAGGCCTGGTGACCTGTGTGTGAGTGGGCACAGTTCACCGCAGCCTGTCCAGGAGGCACCGCCACGGGCCCTGTGCGCCCGGGAGCCCAGCCCCGCTGCCCTAAGCGCAGGGACTCCTCTCCGCGTCCCCAGAGCCCGGTCCCCACTAAGCAGCGAGGTTTGGAGAAAGAACAGCCTAGAACCAGTAGCCTAGGCTTTCTGTGTCTGCCAATGAGCAGCTGAGGACCCTGAGCAAGCCTCCTCCCGCTGACACCTCACCTGTGAAACGGGAACACAGGGCGGACCTCTCGGTGCTGTGAACACCGAAGACTGACGGGCTCTGTCAACGGCACGTGTGACCGTTCCTAGTGAACATGGCGCTGCCGCCAGAGACACACGCCTAAGGCGGCCCCACAGGCGCAGGGTTCCCGGGCCTCTGCCCACACCGTGCCCATGTGCAGGCTCCCTCGCCTCCTTGTCCGAAGCTCTCCACTGGCTTCGCTCGTGTCTTTACAAGGAGGCCATGGGCCCAGCCCAGCAACCAATCAACCGACTCGACTCCTTCAAAACGAAGGTGCCCAGATGGTCCAAAATAAGGGGAGGGGCAAGGCCTGGCTCTGTGAGGCCCTGCTGCAGGGGCCTGTTTCTGCTCTGTTCCTCTCGGGGAGAGGGTCCGGGTCCAGTCTCCTCTCCAGGCCACGTCAGGAAGAGGATGGGAAGAGTGAAAAGAAGCCAGAGCCACAGAGCTGAGGCTGAGGAAGCAAAGCAGGGGGAGGTGAGCTGAGTACCTGGTCGGTGACGTCATACACCACAATGATGCCGTGAGCGCCCCGGTAGTAGCTGGAGGTGATGGTCCGGAACCGCTCCTGCCCAGCCGTGTCCCACTACCAGACAGAGGAGAGAGGGTCAGCGTGCTCCACGCCCAGAGCCTCGTCCTCCGTGGCGGTGCTCGGCAGCAGGCCCGTGGGAAGAGCGACACTCACGATCTGAAGTTTGATGGTTTTGCCATCCAGCTCGATGGTTCGGATCTTGAAGTCCACCCCAATGGTGCTGATGTAGCTCTCCGTGTACGTGTCATCCTGGAAGATCAGGGCCAGTGACACGTCCTGAGGCCCAACTAGAAAACCCCCCTCCAGTTTCCTGCCCCGGCAAAGCTCCTAACTGCACCCGACTGGCCAGACACATGCCCTCGTTCGGTAGCCATGTTGCTGGCAGCTCCTGCAACTTCGTCCTTCATCCCCACGTCTTCCAACTACTGCGCTCTGGGTTGCCCATTCTCCCTCCAGCCACCAGCCAGACACCCAGAGGATGGTAGGGGAGACTTCCTACTCACAGCGAACCGAAGGAGCAGGCAGGACTTGCCCACGCCCGAGTCACCAATCAAAAGCAGCTTAAACAGGTAGTCACTGGAGAGGAAGGATGGAAGGTGTGAGGCAGGTAGGGAGCCATTGTCCGGGAGCCACCGTCATAGCATTCTCCGCCTCGAGGCAGGCCTCAGCTTAGAGCACTAAGGTGTTCACAAGATCCTCCCACAAGTCCCAGGAAGGGGAGAGCTGGCCACCCCCCATAACACAGAATTCCCACTTTACAGAGAAGGAAACTGAGGCACAGAGAGGGACATGACTTGCTGAGGTGACAGGGCTGGGTACCTACCCTGATTCCTGACAGACCCATGGTCTGGAGTCCAGTAGGGACTATCTAGGGGACCTGTCTTGGCAGGGAAGGCCCCAGAAATGGAAGGCAGGGCCCGGCCTAGAGCTTGCTGAGTGAATAAGTGTGCAGAGTCCCACGAAGCCTCTCAGAAGAGGTGGCAATAACAACAGTGAGCAGTGAGGCCGTATCGGGTTCCTGTGTGCCTAACCCAGGGCTAAGAATTCCCAAGGCACCCTCGCGTGTAAGCCTCGCGACAGTCCAGTGAAGAGGGTGGTTGTTATTCCCAATAAATGAGGAAACCAGAGGCCAGCGAAGGGAAGTGGCTTGCCCTGAGTCACACGGCTGGTAACTTGAGGACTGGAACCCGGGTTCAGACCCCGAGGTCTGTGAGAGCCTGCCAGCTCCCTTCTCCGAGGCCCCCTCCCCAGGAAGCCTCTCCAGGCCTGGCTCTGGAGGAGGAGGGGGGAGAGGCAGCGGGGAGAGAACTGACACTTCAGGAAAACTGTCCTGAGCGGCCTGGGACAGAGATGCGGGCCACCTGCCCCTAGGGGGAGTGACCAGGAGTCTGAGGAAGAGAGCCTCACGGGAGGGGAGCAGCAACTGCCACGTTCGGCTAAGCAGCAGTGTGACAGCAGGGGAAGGGGTGTGACGGCGGCGCCGGGCTGCCAGGGAGAGGAGAGGGCAGGAGGGGCGGAGCGGCGGGAGCTGGACCCGGGCTGGGCCGGCCCCGCGGCGGGGGGACCCGGGGAGAGCGACCCCAGCGGCGCCCCGGGAACCGGATTCCGGGAGAAGGGCGAGAGCAGACGGATTCACGGCCCGACCTAAAGGGCAGGAGGCTGGACCGAGACCGGGAACCCTCTGGTGAGAGACCTTATCGCCGAGGCCATTGTCAGCGCTCAGATCGCCACTCTTAACCAGATGGGGAAACTGAGGCCTGGGGAGGCCAGGGCTGCGGGGTCACCTGACCTATAAGGCCAGTCAGGGTCAGCCCCTCAGGCTCCAGGAAGTGTCCCTCGGGGTCGCAGTGTCTGGGCCCCGGGTACAAGAACTAGGGGTGTGGAGCCGGGGTCCTGGGGTCCCGGGGGAGGGGCAGAACCCGGATGTGTGTGTGTGTGGGGGGGGGGGTCAGCGGAAGAGGGACCCGGATGTGGGGGCCGCACAGTCCTGACCCGGGCCGGACAACCCGGTAAGCGCACAGCCCCGTACTCGGGATCGAGGCTACGCCAGACGGCGCAGGCGGGGCTCACTCACTATTCGGGGTTCATGGCGGCAGCGGCGGCCCGCTCGGTCGCTCCCAGTCGGCTCTGCTCCGCCTCCTGTTCCAAGATGGTGGCCGCTCCGCCCCAGAGGCCCCGCCCGCGACGCGCAGCCGCAAACATTCCAGCCTAGGACCTCGCTGCGCGTTGCTTCTTGGGACTTGTAGTCTCCTTACGTTGTCCAACGTACTCCGCAGCGCAGGCGCAAACCGGGGAGCCCAGCCTTCTAGCTCATCACTGCGCATTGCCTTCTGGGGCTTGTAGTTCACTCTTTAGACATACCTGGGCTTTTGGACAGCGCTTGGGAGCCTTATGGTGTCCTGGAGTTGGAAGCTCTCTTTAAGGCCGGGGTTGACACATCTGTCTGACAGGCATTGATCCCTATCCTCCTGCCTCCCGGAGTGTTTGAAAAGTTCATTTCTCCAGGGTCCTTCGTGTACTGGCGTTCCTAACTCACAGCCACAGGCCCCGGGGGAAGGTGTCCTCGTCCACATTTTATAGATGGAAAAATCGGGTATCAGTAACTCGCTCAAGGTCTAACAGCTTACTAAGGGGCAGAGCTCAGTCAAAGCCTGCAATTTTCTAGAACCTCAAAGATGAAAACTGTTAGATCTTGACCCTTGGGACCCCCAATTATGTGAAAGAATATCTGGGCTCCATTTGGAGGAATGGGACGTGAGGGATACACACACACACACACACACACCCTTCATTCGAAGCCTTTCCCGACCCCCGACCTCAACCCCAGCCTAGACCCTGGGAGCCCTGGACTTCAGCCCCAAAACAAGCCCGGCTCAGATTCAAACCATCTTTATTTCTACAGCAACATTTGAAAATAGAGAACGACCACCTCACCCCACAACTGGAGCAGCCCCTCCTGCCATAGCAGGGACATCACTGTCCCTCGAGAGAAGCTGCAGGCGTGGGAGAAGGCGTGGCTGGATGGCTCGACAGGCAGTGCCTGGTGGGGTCGGGCGGGAGGGACAGTGCATAAGGCCGGGATGCAGGGCAGGGCCCGGCGTTGAGGGGCTGGTAAGGGGAGGATTCTCCATCCGGGGCACAGAGTGACGGTGGGGCAGGACGCATCCCTCAGAGCCCACACCCCTCAGAGTCCAGGAGGAGCGTGACAAGGCCCAAGGAACCTTTTGGGGAGGCCCCCAGATGTGTTGTGGAGCCTGGGAGATACCACCGCGTGGAATGGGGGTGATTAAGGCCTGGGCGGTACCACTGGAGAAGGGCGGGGTGAGAGGAAGCCCAGGCAGTACGGTAGACTGAGGAGAGGGGCGCGGCCAATAACTTATTTCTCTATATACAGAAGCAACGGCCGAGGAGGGGCAGGAGGCAGGGGGTGTGGGGAGGGGGGGTGTGGAGAGGCAGGGAAGGGTGCTGACTGGAGGGCAGTTACTTAGTGTTCTTGACTCCGGGGTCAGGGGATGGCAGGCCACTGAGCCTCTACCTGGAAGACCCCAGCCAGCTTTCACTGGCTCTGGACCTAGGGACAGGGGCCCTGCTGGGAGGAATAAATAAGGGGTAGAGCTGGAGCCGGGCAGGCCCAGCCTCCAGGGCTCAGGCTGAGATGACAAGGGAGGAAGTTACCCTGAGATTGAACAGAAAAGACAGGGGTCCTGGGGAGAGTCAGGCAAGACAAGCAGCAGGCCCATGCGCAGGGCTGGGGTGAGGGCAGTGCCGGGTGCAGGCTGTGCACTGGCTGCCCTTCAGGATTAGCCCACCAGGGAGCTTCGTCGGGAGAGGTCCATGGAGCTGGAGCTGAGGGCACGGCTGTCAGAGAGGCCTGTGCCTCCAGGCTGTGGGCAGAGGGGGCATGTGGCTCAGCCGTGTGCTGCTGCCAGTCTGTGCTTCCCTGGCCAGAATCCCTGAGCCCCACCCCTGCCCGCCTCCACAGGGACAGTGTTGGTACTGGCCACTTGCATGTCCACCCAAGCAGGGGCTGGGTTTCCCTAATTTGTCCCCCCAGTGTCCAGCCCAGAGCCAGCCCAGAGCCAGCCCAGAGCCAGGAAATGCTGCCGGGAGCCGTGCTTGAGGAGCTCGTTAGGCACACAGGGATGCAGGCCTCCGGCCCCGGGCCTGGGCCTCCCGCCATACCTGGGCTGGCTCTTCCACACTCTTGTTGAGGAAGTTGAGAGAACTGGCCCGCTTCATCCTGAGGAGAAGGAAGGCCAGGATGTGCCGTGGTGGGACTGGAAGGTGGGAAGGGGGTGAGGAGGGAGCTGAGGGAGGCACAGATTTGGTGGGTAGTGGAGCTGGAGAGATGAGGGAGCTCACCTCCAGCCAGGAGCTCATTTGGGGTGTTGGGCGGTTCTTAAGGCTCACCCTGTGGGGTAAACTTATCAGGGCAGAGGCTGACCTGGGGTTTGGGGGCTCCTGGGGGCCCCCACCCTGCAGCTTCTTGACCAGCATCTCACTGCTGCGCCTCAGAGCGTCTCGGAGCTTCCCCAAGGAGCCGCTGCGCCGCAAGGAGCCGCTGCCATCCTGTGGGAGGACATGCTGGTCTGTCGTGCTGGCCACACAGCCTCCTGCCCACCGCAACCCCTCGACTCACCCCGCTCCACTCGGCTGCGGGCCCTGCCTCCTCCATGTCAGACTCAGGCCGAGCCCCAGCACCCCCGGCCACATCTCGGCTGCCACGGCGGTCTCCCCGCCCACCGCTGCCATCTTTCAGCAGTTCCACCACCTTGGTCTGGCTCGCAGGGTCCAGGCCCTAAGGAAGTGGAGGGCACATTAGGTGGAAAACAGGGCCGAGAAGGTCCCTGCCCAGTCCTCAGGCTGTCGCCTACCTGCTTGCGGCTGCGGCTGGCACAGTCCTCCAGTGTGTGCGCGGCTTCCAGCTTGCCCTGGCGCCGGTACAGGGCCCCCAAGCTGCGCAGGGTGGTGTTGACGGTGGGGCTGTGGACAGGACAGCGGGACAGTCTCACATTCTGTGTTCCCCAGGAACCAGCCAGCCAACCAGGATCTCACCCTGCTACCTGCCCTGCCGTCCGTACCTGTCCACTCTGCAGGCCTTGTACCAGCTGCCGTATTCCCCATAGGCAGTGCTGTCCGGGCGCTTGTTCTGGGGAAAGAATGGTCAGGGGCGGTGGGAAGAGAAGGCCCTCCCCTCAACCCCCAACTCCCCCTCCTCCCCTGGACACCCACTCGGGCCCAGTCCGCAGTGCTGTACCTTGGTCTCCTCCCGTTCCTCTGCGTGCATCCAGATGGGCTTGTTGTCCCCTGCGGAGAAAAAGGGGCTGTCACCAGCCTCTAATATAAGCCTCTGCTGGTTGGGCTGGGTATAGAACTGGGGTATGGGGAGGGGATCAGGGGGAGCCAGGAAGAATCAAGGTTGGGCTTGCTGAATGAAGGAACAAGAATCAGACCTAAAACGTGAGTGACCCTCCTCTGGAACAGATGACTGTGGCACAGGCTTGTGCTTGAGGGGCTTGGGGGAGCAGACCCTCAAACACCGGGGGCCCAAACCTGAGCCTGAGTGACAGGCCCGGCTGAGCAGGAAATGGACCATCGGGGCCAGATGGTAGCTTCCCGGCGAGGGAGACATTTGGGCTGGGCCTTCGTGGTGAGCCAGAGTTGCCCAGGAGAGAAAGGGGAAAGACTCTGGGTCTAGGGCATGGGGTATACAAAGTGTCATGGCACAGACAGGGCCAGGAGGTGTGTGTGCATGCTCACATGTGCACAGGACACCCGGGCCTGAGGGCCTGCCTGGCAGCCATGGACTCACCATTGACAGAGCCAAACTCCTTCTCGTGAGCACGGGTGAGGATCTCCTTGTACAGGGTCTCTGCATCCTGGTATTTGCCCTGCTTCAGGTAGCAGGAGGCCTGCAGAGGCAGGGGCCAGAGGAAAAGCAGTTGCGGGACCTGAGCCTTTTCCTTCCCTTCCTCCCTCAGCCCTCTCCCTCCCTCCCTGCCATAGCTCCTGGCCCAGGGTACCAGGTTGTTCTTGGTCTTGGCCACGTTGGGATCATCAGGCCCGAGGCGTGTGGCGTAGATTTCCAGTGCCCGCCGGTAGTAGTATTCCACCTCCTCGGCTTTGCCCTGGTTCTGGCAGAGCAGTGCCAGGTTGCTCAGCTGCTTGGCCACATCGGGATGAAATTTGCCCAGGACCTGGGATGGGAGCAGAAGCCAGTGGCTAGGCTCAGCGCTGGCCTAGGCCCCCTGCCTGGCCTGCCCCGCTTGCCTGCGCCCACCTTCTCCCGGATCTCCAGGGCCCGCTTGCACAGAGGCTCGGCCTCCTTGTACTTGCCCCGCTTGCCGTACAGAACTGCCAGGTTGTTTAATGTTGCAGCCACCTGGGGGAGGGGGAGAGGGAGAGGGAGGGGCTGGAGAATAAATGGAGGCTCTGTGACCCAGGGCCCTGCTGACCAAGGGTTCTGAGACCTGGGAGCCGCAGAGAGCAGCAGCAGCCCCACCCTCCACCCCCTCACTCACAGCTGGGTGGTCCTTGCCCAGTGTCTTCTCGCGAATGGCCAGGGCGTCATTGAGCAGGTGAGCAGCCTCTTTGTACTTGTTCTGGTCCCTGGGGGGGGGGGGGGGGGGGCGGAAGGACGGTGAGATCATCCTCCAGCCTGGGCCCTGCCCGCAGTGGTCTGATCCCTTGCTCACTCCTGCCTTTACTGAGCGGGCATGATTATGACCAGAGCATGGGGAACTGGTCAGCCGGCCTCCAGGGGCTCAGAGGCTTTGGGAATGCACTCCTCACCAGGGCATGCAGTGCTGGGGCAGGAAGCAGGCTCACCCAGACCCACCCCCTGCCTCATGCCCAGCGCACACTGTTCTGTATCCTCCAGTGCCCTCATTCATTCTGCTCTTCCTGCTGGGAAACCTTTTCAATCCTCTCGTGTTCTGGGAAGATTCACTTTTTTACCAAAGATCCTACTCTAGCCAAAACCGGTTTGGCTCAGTGGTGGAGCGTCGGTCTGCAGACTGAAAGGTCCCAGGTTCGATTCTGGTCAGGGGCATGTACATTGGTAGGGGGTGTGCAGGAGGTAACTGGTCGATGTTTCTCTCTTATTGACATTTCTAGCTCTCTATCTCTCTCCCTTCCTCCTCTCTGTAAAATATCAATAAAATATATTAAAAAAAAAAAAAAAAAAGATCCTGCTCTAGCCACGATGCCCAGAGAGGCTGTGCCAGTTCCCTCCCTGGCTATTTCCAAACCTTTCTCCCCCACTAGCCTGAGGCTTACTCACACCTCCAGGCCTACAGCCCAGGCTGAGCAGGCCCAGGCACCCTGTGGGCTCAGCCCCCTTGGCACAAGCTCCTCTCTCTGCTGCCCAAGCGCCTGGAGAAACCCAGGCTGGTCCTGGCCCAGGCGCTCCGCGTGCCTGTGCCGGAGGGCCTCACCGGTAGACCAGCGCCAGGATGTTGAGCATGGTGGCCACGTCCGGGTGGTCATGGCCGGACGTCTTCTCCAGGTCTTCGAGCGCCTGCTTGCAGAGGGGCACGGCCACCTCATAGCGGCCCTGGGAGGCGTACTGGATCACCAGGTTGTGCAGCGTGCGGAGCCGGGCCGGGATCTCGTAGCCTCCATGCTGGGCAGCCGCATCCCCTCCTCCGGGGCTGGGGGCTGCAAGGCCAAGGGGAGAAACTCAGATGAGCCTAGCTGCCCCTCGGCTGGACTGGTGCATGCCGACCACGCCTCTAACGCACCTGACACGCGGCCCTAGGCAAGGTACTGTCTGTTCTCAACTTCTTCATCTATAGAACCGCCCCAGAAAGGGTGGGTAATGTGTCCTCACGAACTACTTGTCCTGGAGCCTCAGCTCCTCAGCTGCTGAAGGAGGTCTGACGTGCACAGGGCACCAAGCAAGGCGAGCACTGGCCCGGGGCTCCACTGCACTGGCCCGCCCTTAACTCCCAGAGGCCGCTGAGGAACAGCCCTGCCGGCGGTCACAGGGCAGCGAGGGACACAGTGAGCCCCGCAAGGAGCTCGGGGTTGGGGAGGTGGTAGGGAAACATGGAACACCTGTCAGTTAAGCTCTCACATGCTGGGATGTGTGATCAGGAATGAATGCCAGGAAGGAACATGCCAACCACTTGGTTCCTGTTTCTGGTGATCTCTGAGGCCCAAGGACCAAGAATCTGTTCAGCCCTCTCTACCCCCCCACCCCCCGCCCCCCGAACCAGCTGCCTCCGCACCTGAGCTCTGCTCCTCCTCGTTGGGGAACAGGTCGTCCAGAGAGTCTTTGGGGACCTCCCCCTTCTCCTCCTGGGCAGGAAGACAGGATGAGATCAGGGAAGGGCGAGGTAGCCCCGTGGTCAGCAGCTGGGGGAGCTGAGTGTGCTCTGTGCTGCCCTCTCCCCGCTCCCAGGCCCTCTGGCCGCCGGCCGGCCGGCAGCGGCGGCGGGACTCACGCTGGGGGAGGCGTCCTCATCCAGCTTCCGGATCTGGCTCATGAACAGCAGGTGCTGCTTCTCCTCCTCCAGCTGGGCCACCGCCTGCTCGCTGCGCTGCAGCTTCTGCTGCGTCCCCGCCAGCTCCTCTCGCAGCCACTGGTTCTCCTGCACCAGGCGCCGCACCTGGGCCCGCAGCTTCTGCTTCTCCGACTCCACGGCCCCCAGGTGGCTGGACAGCGCCAGGATCACCTGTGGCAGCCGGCGGGAGGCCGTCAGAGCCCTGAGCGCCCGAGCCAGGCCTCCTGGCCAGGGAAGGCTGAGCAACTTGAAGTTCTCTCATCAAGGGCGTTTTCTCCCAAGGCCCCGAGAAGACTGCAGTCCAAGACTGAGCCCAGGAGTCTTGGGGATCCCCAACTCCTTCCCTCTGGGATCAGAAGTCCTGGCCCCTAGACTGTCTTTGCTGGACTCTAAGAAATTCTATCCCTTTTCCTTGGCCTCCAGCTAGTCCTCTGCATGACGGTCCAGCTCCCGCTCACTGGCTGATGGAACAGGGCGAGTAGGGCGCTGTGCTTTCCCCGGGCTAGCCATTTTCTCCCTTTGTCTCTCTTGGGGGTTGTGCTCAATCCGCTGCAGCCACAGCCACTAAACCACTGCCTCCTGCGCAGGAACCTGGACAGGTGGCTGGAACACTTTCCCAAAGAACCTTGATAGACTGGAAGACCCATCCCGACTTCTGCCAAGGCTAGACCCGGGGGGGATGGGGCACATATACCAGCCGATGGTCTGGGAACCACAGGGCCGGTGAGGAGACCCAGAAACCTACTCTTAGCCCTACCCCTCGCCCAACCTCCAGGATTCCTTTCCTGAGCTGCAGGCTCCTGGCTCCACCCTCTTTCCCATCATTCACTTTCAGAGGCCTTTCTGCGGTGAAACCTCTCTTCTGCCCCAGGCCCAGGAAAGCAGGGCACCCCCCTCCAGCATCCTGATGCCCATCTGTGCCAGAGCCGGCACACACTGTGGGGAGGGGGTACCTATGTGTTCATCTCTGTGCCTGGCAGCCAACTATTGCCCTGCCAGAGAGCCACGCAGTCTCAGACCCTGCCCTTTCTACTTGATTAGCAAATGCCTAAATGCCAAGTGTTTTCACAACCGCTAGCTTTTTAAAAACTCCCCTGGACAGCCTGGAAGTGTATTCAGCAGATGGCATGATCCCTATTTTAAAGACAAGGAAACCGAGAGGGCACCACCTGCTCAGGATTCACAGAGCCAGCAGTGCCTCCGCCAAGACTCAAGGGGCCGAGACTTTCCCCCAGAGCCCACCTCCTCCTCCAGCTGCGCGCTGTCCTGGCAGCCCAAATCTAGAGGGCCGAACACAACTCTAATCCTGCGGGCTCTCTCATCTCTTCACTCACTCCAACCAGGAACCAGGGAGTTCTGTTCCCCTCTCCTCCCTCACACCGTTCCCCAGTCCTCCTGGATCGACCCCCCTCCCCCCCCCCCCCCGAACATCTACAACTGGCCCCTTCCCTCCACCCTCACGGCCACCCCTTTGGTCCAAGCCACCGTTTTTCATTTGAACTCCAGCAGTGGTTTCCTAACCACCTCCTACCTGCCTCCTCCATCCTGGACCCGCTATAGTTCACTCTCCATACCTTTTCCCGCAAGACTTTAAAACGTAAGTCATACTGGGCCCTTTGACTGCTTAAAGCCCTCCAAAGGCTTCCCAATTTCCGGAGACTGAAACCCAAATGAGGGAGGCACAGCCTGACCTGGCCCTGCCGTCCCCACAGGCCTGGTCTGTCCCTCTCTCCGTCCCTGTCACACAGGTCTTTTCCCAAGTCTCCCATTCCAAGGTTTTTCCTACCTCCGGGCCTTTGCACATGCACCTCCCCATCCTCCCTTTTCTGGAGACTAGTCCAGGTCTTGGTTTAAATGTCATTCCTCAGAAGTCTTAACTGACTAATAGATAAGACTTCCCATTTAAAGCTATTACAAGATTTTGTTCTTTCCTTTGGAGGATTTATCACCACGTGTAACAAATGTATGTTCTTATCTTCCAAAATGGACTAGAGCAGGAATCTAGTCTGTATCCCTGGCACCTAACATATTGCCTGGCACAGAGTAGGTATTTGAAAACTTACCTGTTAACGAGTGAATAAGAGAATGAATGGGTGGGTGGGTAAGGATTTCCTTTTTGTTTTCCTATGTCATTCAGTCTTTGCTACCTACCCTGTTTCCCTGAAAATAAGACAGTGTCTTATTATTAATTTTTCCTCCCAAAGTTGTGCTAGGTCTTATTTTCAGGGGATGTCTTGTCTTTCCATGCGCTAGGTCTTATTTTCGGGGAAACACGGGTAGCAGAGAAACTAGGATCAGGGATCTCTGTGCGGGCTGATGGATGGCTGTCAGGCTTCTCCTGGGGAAGACCCCGCGGGAGTCTCCAAAGCCCATCCATTTACTCAGCGGGTATTTACTGGGGTCCTTGCATGGAGCTCCAGGGGACAGATGGTGTCCTGCTCTGATTCTGTTCCTACGCAGCCAGAACCCTCCGGAACCTCCAACCCGCCCTCCGCCGCCTCCCCCCTCAGCACTCCAGACAGGCCTACCTGGGCCTCCCCCAGTCCCAGCTCGATGGCTTCCAGGGAGCGGCGCAGGAGGACACAGCGTTCCTGCGAGCCGGGCTCAGCCTCGCCGGCTTCAGGAGCGACCAAGGGGGCGAGCAGGGCGCGATGCTCCCCGCGCAGGGTCTCCAGCCCCTGGATGACGGCCTTGGTGCCCAGCACGATCTCATCCTGGCTCAGCTTCTCCTCTCGCGGAAGCACCATCGTGGCCATGGCCTTGCCGCCTGCGGAGGCGAGGGGGCGGCAGGCGGGTGCCGGCCGGCAGCGCCCGCAGCCCCGGGTCAGGTAAACACCTCCGTCCCCGGGCGCTGGGTCCCCGGGGCGCCCGCCGCCCTGGCCCGCAGCCCCGCCGCGCCCGCGCTGGGCCTCCAGGGGGCGCGCTCGGCTCGCCTGGGCCCGGGAGACGCAATGCGGTGAGACCGGCGAGGCTGGACCCAGATTCGGCCCGGACCCCGGCTCAGGCCGGCGCAGGCGGCCAGGCTCGGGGCTTCCTGGGGAGTCGCTCAGCCAGGGAGCGCGCGTCGGAGGAGGGTCCTACGGGGACCGCGGGGTCCCACTCCCAAGCGGGAGACCCCGGCCCCTCGGGGAGAGCCAGCCCCAGCCCCAGCCCCTCGGCAGCCCCATCCCGGTCGGGCAGAACGGCCAGAGCCCCTGCTCCGTCCCTGGGAGACCCCTCCCCGGAGGAGCCGAGACCCCGGCTCCGTCACCGCAGGCCCCGCCCACGACCACCCTCCCATAGGCCGGCGCGCTCGGCGGCCGCCCCTCCCGAGAAGGCCCGGCGCCCGCCCCGGCCCAGGCCGCGCCCCCTCCGCGAGGGTGGCCCGCGGCGCCGCTGCCCCGGCGCCCGGAGCCCGGCCTCCCGCCCCGCGGACCTGCGCCTCGCGCTCCGCGGCTCCCGCTCCGGCTCCGGCTCCCGCCCCGCTTCACTCGGACCGGCCGCCGCTAGCGGGTCCCACCGCCTCCATCCCGCCGCCCTTCCCGGCAGCCCCCGCGCCGCCTTAAAGGTGCAGCCGCTACCTCAGGCGTCGGAGGGGGCGAAACACGCTCTGCACCCGCGGCCGCCTTAAAGGAGCGCGAGCCGGGCCGGCTCCGGGCGGGGCGGGGCCACCGGGCGGGGCGGGGCCGCGGGGCGGGGCCACCGGGCGGGGCGGGGCCACCGGGCGGGGCGGGGCCGGCCTGGCGCGGGTCCCGGAGCCGCCTCCACGCCCCGCGGCCTCAGCTTCCTCTCTCGGAGCCGCTGGAGCGGGAGCCTCGGGAGCCTGTGCGCCGCAACCACCCGATGCCGCGGCGGAGAGGTCGGCGAGGGAAACTGAGGCCCGGGGAGGCCCGGAGCCCTCGGCGGGAACGGACACCCACGGACGTTTATTGAGGGAGTGGCCGCTTCTGATCGCTGTGCCAGACGCGGTGGTGCCTGAAGCGGGTTCACTCCCCGGATGCCCGCGAAGACCCCATGACGGGCGCTGCTGTCACCGCATCTCCCCGATCGGACCCCTCCGGCTCCTCTGCTGGGGCCCCCCCACAACCCCTTCGGAGGGCTCCGTCCCCTGCAGGCTCCCCACAACTTGGGGCTGCTTCGTGGGCGTGGGGGAGGCCGAGGCTCTGGCTGGAAGGGAGGGAAGGGTGGCAAAGGGCAGCCGGGCCTCTGCCAAGCCGGACTCATACAACAGATGCTGCTGACCGATGGACAAGACAAGGCCATGATATCATTCCGGCTCAGATGAAAGATCACCTGGTCAGCGAGCCCATCCGTGATTTCCCCCCGCTGCCCCCGTGCAGAGCAGCCCTCCGGCCCAGCCCGGCACCCGTTTAATTCTCTCTGTAGCGTTTATGCCTCCAGCATGTGTCTTGTCGGCTCCGTGTCTCCTGCCTAGAATGTGGCCCTGCCTGTCTCCTTCACTCCCAGAGCAGCCCCTGGCCGGCCGCACGGCAGCACTAAGTGCTGGTTTTAAAAAAGGGCAGAGGGTGCACCTGTTGGCCTTGGCAGGCCCCTGGCAGACCCAGGCTGTGGTCTGGTGCTCTGCGGCCCTGGATCGGTGGCCACCCGGCACTGCCCTCGGTCCATGGCATCAGGGGTGACAGCAGCATAACCACCCGGACAAAACCCGCAAAGCAAGGCAGGGGCTGGTGTTCCTCAGGTCAGGGTGGGCTCAGACTCAGATTGCACCAGCTCCAGAGCCTGTGGTGCGAGAGTCTCCTGGCGTCCTCTGACTGACCTGGCCCGCTGCCCTGGCGTGAGTACGGCATGTCCTGTGGCCGGGAGCACATACCTTGTGCGGTGAGACTTAAAGGTTAGCCTTCCCTTAGATAGCCATCGCAGCCGTCCTGCCGCTCCCACGCCCTCCGGGCTCTCTTCTGGAAAACAGTCAGCTCCTTGGCCAGGGAAGATGTTTGGAGACCGCGATGTCCTTCTCTTGGCTGACAGTCCCTGTCGCCTCACCCATTCCTGCCCCTTCTCACTCCGAATTCTCCCTTCTGAGTGTAGTTTAGCGTTTCTGTCCAGACACTGCTTACAACAGTCCAGGGCCCAGGGAATTGCACAGATCACAGAGGAATGGTACCCTCCTTTTATTTTATATATATTTATATATGAGGAAGGGAGAGGGACAGAGATAGAAAATCAATGATGAGCCGAAACCGGTTTGGCTCAGTAAATAGAGCGTCGGTCTGCGGACTGAGGGGTCCCAGGTTCAATTCCGGTCAAGGGCATGTACCTTGGTTGCGGGCACATCCCAAGTGGGGAATGTGCAGGAGGCAGCTGGGCAATGATTCTCTCTCATTGACATTTCTAACTTTCTATCCCTCTTCCTTTCTCTCTGTAAAAAAATAATCAATAAAATATATTTAAAAAAGAAAAGAAAATCAATGATGAGAGAATCATTGATTGGAACCCGCATGAGCCCTTGACCAAAATGGAACCTGGGACCCTCCAGTCTGCAGGCCAACACTCTATCCACTGAGCCACACCAGCTAGGGCTGGGATTGACTATTGCTGGGTTCTAAGTTCTGGCCCTCCTGCTAATTGCCCGCAGGCATTGTGGTTTCTCTGAGCTCCTCTATGGGCACCCAGCCCTGCTCCTCCTTGCCTGCCTGCCGGGAGGCGGTTCTTATCTGGTTTTCTGTGCTTGACCTTGCCTGCGTCCAAACCTTTTCAACCCTCGGCCTTTTATCTTGTCTCTGAGGATCCTACTGTGAATCTCCCACCGGAAGGAACTGTTACTTCATCCGCTCTGTTCTGCACACCCCTCCCTGCCTCCCCCCCACCCACCCCACAGAGGCTGGTCCGTGCCAGGCTGCTGATGGGTGCTCCGTTAGGGAGAGGAAAGGAAGGAGCCTATACGCAGTGGTGATTCTGCTCCTTATGCCATTTTCCTCAGAGCTCATCGGCTTACCCTGCTGGTCCCAGCCTGGGGAAGTGGTTCTTGCTGCTTTTAATATTGTTTCCTCCCAGGAACCCCCTCCCTCTGCTTCCCAAGCGGAAGCTTTAGATTCTCAGAAGCGCTTCACTGAAGTCTGCTTTCTTAAGTGATTCTTTCCCCCTTGGCTGGCTTCATGCCTTTTTTCTTTAATCCTCACCCGAGGATATTTTTTCCCTATGGATTTTTTAGAGAGAGGAGGGGGAGGAGGAGAGAGAAACATTGATGTGAGAGAGATAACAGCAATTGGTTGCCTCCAGCACATGCCCAGACAGGAGCTGGTACGAACCTACAACTGAGGTATGTCCCCTTGATGAGAATCAAACCCTAAACCCTTCAGTCCACGAGCTCTAACTGCTGAGCTAAACTGGCCAGGCCATTCCTTTTTTGTTTTTTTTCTTATCATTTTTATTTTTTAAATATATTTTATTGATTTTTTTTTTACAGAGAGGAAGGGAGAGAGAAAGCTAGAAATGTCAATGAGAGAAACATCAACCAGCTGTCTCTTGCACACCCCCTACTGGGGATGTGCCCTCAACCAATGTACATGCCCTTGACCAGAATTGAACCTGGGACCCTTCAGTCCGTAGACCAACGCTCTATCCACTGAGCCACACCGGTTTCGACCACTCCTGTTTTTGAAGTGGCTGGAGGCGCTTCTATCAAGCATAGCATCCCCACCCTGACATCTGGGAGGTCACTCATCAGTGCTCAAGATCGGAGTCTCCTGCGCCGAAACCGGTTTGGCTCAGTGGTGGAGCATCGGTCTGCAGACTGAAGGTCCCAGGTTCAATTCTGGTCAAGGGCATGTACCTGAGTTGTGGGCACGTCCCCAGTAGGGGGTATGCAGGAGGCAGCTGGTCGATGTCTCTCTCCCATCGACATTTCTAGCTCTCTATATCTCTCCCTTCCTCTCTGTAAAGAATCAATAAAATATATTAAAAAAAAAAAAAAAAAAGATCGGAGTCTCCTTAACTGTCATGTGTCCCACATCTCCCCGCTTCCGGAGGGGCCTGTGCCATTGTGAACAGCTCTGGTTGTCCGCTTTTTTCCTGCTTTGAGCCAAGAATCGGGTCTGCTCGGAGCTCCCCCGAGAGGCTCCTGGCTCCTGTCCTGGCAGCCACATGGCAAAGGGCCCGGCCTGCTCAGTGGGGTCAGATGAGATGAGTTCAAAGCCACGTTTCTCCACTTGCCAGCTGTGCAGGTTCACCCATATTATTACCTTATCTGTTTCCTCCTCTTAGAATGCGGTTCCTAATCCCTATCTACCTTGTTGGGTCCTCAAGAGAACAGTGGCTCAGGGGTTGAGCATCAACCTGTGGACCAGGAAGTCATAGTTCAATTCCCAGTCGGGGCACATGCCCACGTTGCAGGTTCGATTCCCAGTGTGGGGCGTGCAGGAGGCAGCTGATGGATGATTCTGTCTCCATTGATGTTTCTGTCTCTTCCTCTCTGAAGTCAATAGAAATAGGTTTAAAAAAATAAAATTTAAAAAAGAATGGGATAAGTAGCAGAGTTCAGATGTTAATATTATGCTTTGTACCTAATAGACTATTCCTAGTAGTTATTTATTACCACCATCTGTTCAAGCTCACTACTGAACAGACCTGGTGCTAGTGAATGGACAAAATATAAAATGGAGAAAAAATATGAAATGGAGAAAAAATAAGACATGGAAGGCAATGCCTGCGTTTGGTGGTGTGGGAGAAAAAACACACCCGGAATGAAAGCGAGCAACACAGGCTGCAAAGAGGAAGCACGTCTGGGTATAACAGGTGCTAAGAGGGTGGTGCTGGATAT